TGTGTGTGTGTGTGTGTGTGTGTTGCAGGGGTGTGGCGAAGGCCTGGTCGTGGGCTCACTTCGGGCAGGGATCAGGCCCCATCCTGCTGGATGCTATGAAGTGCACAGGAAACGAGCTGTTCCTGGATCAGTGTCCCCACAGCGACTGGGAGCAGCACAACTGTGACCACATGGAGGACGCTGGGGTCTCCTGCAGCCCTTATACAGGTTACAGCTCATAACACACACGCACGCACATCGTTATACCTCTATACAAACTGACAGTAACTGCATTTATGCCAAACCCAGACATTTTCCAAAACCCCAACCATCACTAGTCTATTCCTAACCTTAACTAAAATCTAATTTGCATATTACTTCTCAAACACAGTAGAACTGAGAAAAAGAAAACAAAATCACTTTCCACAAATGATTGCCTTTCGATGGTAAATACTGTGAAAGTGGTCACAAGTGCAAACACACGTTTGTATTTCTAATCATTTTTGCATTGTCCCCATCCATTTTTCATTCATTTCTGCAGCTTAATCCAAGCAGTAACCCTATATATAACCATTACCAGAACATACCTAACTTTAAATCTAACATAAACTCAATTCACACATTAAGTCCTAAACCTAACCTAAAAACAGAACTTCTTCTTATGGGCCCCATAAGGAGCAGTTGGTCCCCACAGGGTAGTATTTGTTGGGGAAAAAAGGCCCTTACAAGGCCACACACACACAGAGGTGTGAGATCCTCCTTCTGCCACCCACAACACCCCCTATGGCACAAGTTTTGAAAATTTATTTCCTCAGATTTCCTGCTTGAGCAGACTCCAAAAAACCCCCTAAAGATTTAAATAAAATGCTTTCAGAACACAAAATGCAGACAAATAAGTTGTCTTTTTTGTTATAGTGCTCATGCCTCACTCCTCCACTCCCATTTGAATGCTGCCCTGGGAAACAGCCTATATGAAAAACCTTGGCCAAATAAACAAACACTCTCATCAGGCTCAGAGCAGCTATTTATAACCTCCTGAACATCAATAATGTATGACTATCCTGTCTGAAGCGAGCAGGAACTAACAGGAAACAGATCAGTTACTGTAACTAAAGTGAGCTCAATAATTAATCTGAAAGTTAAAATGAATGAGAGCAGTTTTGTTTGTAAACATCAATGTTACCTGGTGGACACAGCGAGGATTTCGGTGATGTTTCAGATGGCGTGGTGCGTCTGGTTGGAGGCGACACTCCCTGGGAGGGTCGGGTGGAGGTGTTTCACAACGGTGACTGGGGGACGGTGTGTGATGACCACTGGAGCCAGCAGCATGCAGAGGTGGTCTGCAGACAGCTGGGATACAGGTAGGAGCTGCAATCTTGCAAAATGCATATTTAAAATTATTTTTTATTGTAACTGTAATAAATGTTTTTTGTTTTTTTTTAAACTGTACTTTTGCATGTTGGTGCAAGTCTCCACATGTTTCTTATACGTTACTGAGTTAATCTAAAGTTGATTCATTTTATCAACTAACATTTAATTGAATTAATTTTCTTAAAAACTTGATTTTTTTGCTTTTATAAAAGGTCTGACCATCCTTCCATAACGTAAAGGGTTAATTTTTCATAATATGCTCAATAAAAAAAAAACATAATTAAATTTTAACATTATTTTGTGTCAGTTGTATTAAATTCTTACTTTATAAACTTAATATTGCGGTTCTGTCACACTGTAGAACACTGAAACAACAGCAGCAGGAATGTTAAAACTTCGCTCCATGAAGCGCTTTAAGCCGTCAAAAATCAACTTTGCTTTTTGGCATCATGTCTTTTCCCGTCATTTTACAAATTTGTTGCCGCTTTTCCGTTATATTATCGTCACCTGCATAGCACATCAGTAACATTTCAATGATAAGTTGACGCTGCTCCGCCATGAGGCTCGGCTGAATGAGCGCTATTTTAAGCTGAAACTCAACGAGTTTGTCGAGTGTCCATATTTCAAAACTGAACCGGATAATGTACATTTTCCCCCACACCGACTCCGTTTGGACGATTTCTCTTACCCTTCTGGAATAGCCCCGCCGCCATTTTTGTTTCTTTATCAACGGCTCCGCTTAGGGATGACCAGCGGCGCCCTCTGCTGGATGGCATCCAAACTACAACAGTGAAGAAGATCTAAGACTTTCTTGAGATTTAGGTCGCTTGTATCGCTTGAAGAAAATTTTCATTTGATATTTCAATAAATAAATAAATAGGCGTTTGCGTTTGTTCATCTTTATGAAATAAACTTTCTGTTAAAATGTTGACATGTTAATTTACAAATATTTTTTTTCCTGGTACTCTATCACATTTAATTTCTGGAACCATATTTTCAGAAAGATTATTTCAGATAGCTGAAATATTTTACGGCCACCACCTACTCCCCCCCCGGTAACTTTGGTAATTAAAAAGTAAATGTTTCCAAATATTTATTATATATTTATTATTTATATTTATTGTTCATGTTGAGAGGAATAAATACACTTATGGAGTTTTTGAAAAATAATTATTTCCCATGTTACAGACAGGGAAAAGATTATTTCATACAGCTGAAATATTTGGTTCCCCTCAAGTAACGTTGGTAATTAAAGAGCAAATGTTAAAGAGTAAATGTCCGCTTAATTAACTGAACTAATTTTTAATTCAATTAATTCCCTTGTCTTCTCGCATATGAAGTTAGAAAGATAAATCCTCTGCAATCTGTACTTTTCAGGGGTCACGCTGAGGTCGTAGTGGACGGGATGTTCGGGGAGGGCGTCGGTCTGATCCTCCTGGACGACGTCCACTGCGAAGGATCCGAGACTTCCCTGCTGGACTGTCGCCATGGGATCTGGGGTCGGACGGACTGCTCCCACAGCGAGGACGTTGGTGTTCGCTGCAGAGGAAGATCCAGCCAGGACACCAACGAAGTGCCGGTCATCGCACCTTCAACAGGTAACACACAGAGACAAATGTGTAGAGGAAGTTCAACTCAGCCCAGAACTAAAAGAGATTTTAACGTTCTGAAACTTTTAACTGTTTTATACTATCGCCACTTCAATCAATCAGGCTTATCTTCAAGGCAGGCAAAGTCATTTAAACATTTGATTTTAATAATAACATTTTTATGGCATCTGTGGCTTCACAATTAGTCTTAAATCTGTACAGCATAAAGATGAGTCCACTCCAAATATTATTATAAGCTTCAATATATTTTATTTGATTTGTATGTGATAGACCAGTGAAATAGTTCATAATAATTATTCCAGCTAAAGCACATTTATACGTGAAATAATTTGCCAGTGGAACTAGTACTTTTTCACCAATATTAAGGAATTCCTGACTGAAAACAGACTTCTGTATCTTGCTGAAAAGTTACTTGTAAGTTAGTTTTGTCTTATTTTAAGCGTACTAAGATATTTCCACTAGAAACTAGACCAAAAATACTTAGTAAGATTTTGTGTTTTTGCAGTGAAGTCTTTGGTTGAAGCAAAGACACTGCATGTATTCAGCTTCAAAAATTACACTCTACTTTGTGATATTTTATCAAATTTAAATAAAGCACAATGGCATTTATGGCTATTAAGTGACAAAATGTGAGAGGATTAACAGGTGAAAATACTTTTGCAGGCCACTGAACGTGACAACATTGTTTCTAGATGTCGAACACGTGTGTCTGTGTGTCTCAGAGTTAGCTGCAGATAAAATAAACGCTCCTCTGGGGGTTCAGGTCGGCCTGCCGACATGTTCAGGTCATTAGAATGAGAATAGCTCTCGAATGCAGAGGCACCAGATGACATTTAGCTCCGTCAGCGGACACATAGTTCAGAGCATCCTAGCAGACTGGGCCCTGCAGAGGAACATGCGCAAATATGAATGCAAATGAGAGTTTTTCTCCCTGCCAGGACCCCTGGTGCGTCTCGTGGGCGGCGGCAGCAGGAAGGAAGGTCGAGTCGAGGTGTATCTCCATGGAGACTGGGGAAGTATTTGCGACTCAGGATGGAACGACCTCAACGCCGCCGTGGTGTGCAGACAGCTTGGACACAGGTTTAATTCTATTTAAGAGTTTGGGCTTTTTCTATTTTAATCTGTGAAAAAAAGAGAGACTTCCCCTGATGTTTGCTTTTCTCAGTGGTAGAGCAGTAGCAGCTAGAGGGTTCGGTCAGGGGAAAGGACCCATCCACCTGGACCAGGTGAGGTGCACCGGGAAGGAGGAGTTCCTGGGCGAGTGCCCTTCACTCGGCCTGAACGTCCAGGGCTGCAGACGCAGGGAGGATGCATGGGTGAAGTGTGACGTTGAGCCGCGGAGGTCGGCTGTGAAGACCAAACCTCAGGACGAGAGCTGCGGGATGAGGAAGCTGGTGGAAGACGAGGGGAAGACAGGAAGTCAAAGAGAGGGCAGCTCGCTTAGGTAAACCGAGGGTGAACATTGATGCAGAAAACACGCAGACACAAACAAGCGTCTGGTTTTACAATGGCTCCATCTAGTGGTGGTATGAGGAAGCTTAGCATAATTACTCCTATTTATGGCGCTGTTTAGAAATTACTAAGAGAATATTTTAAGAAGCTCTTTGCAAAGAGAAGTATTCAAATATAGAGATAAACATTGTTTTTATGAGCTGTCTGTCAGTTTGTAGTTTGGTTTTCTCAGTTTTACTGAGATGTAAAAAATGAATTATTGGAATTTCTCCACTTCATAATCTGTTAAATTGTACCTGATTATAATCGACCTGTCCAGGGGCCGCAGGTGGAAAGTGTCATTTTTTGCAAGACCCTGATAAAACACATGTCTCTTTTTACAAGGTTAATTAAAAGTTGTATATTATCTGTGCAAAATAAACAGTAAACAGCAAGGATGATGCTTCTCTTGCAGACATGATACACCCATCTTAAAAACTTACAGAACAAAATTAAATTCATGCATGTTTCTTCTGGCATCTTAGGTGATGAGTTGTTGTAATCTGAAGCTCCTTCCACGTTTTTGTTTACAGTTTTTCCTTAATTGTTTAGGCGAAATTCTCTGATCAGAATTAAAATTCTCACACCTGTCAGCTTAGTTTCCTTTAGAAACCAAAAGAAGTAAAAAGATTAATAATGGTTTCTTTATTATGCGTTTGCTCCCAGGACGACGTGGCCCTGGCAGGTGTCGGTGTGGCTTCACTCTCATGAGGGATCTGGCGGGCCTCTCTGCAGCGGGACTCTGGTCAGCCCCTGCTGGGCGCTGACGTCTGCCTCCTGCCTCAGCAGGTGAATCCGGCTCCTGACTCTTCATCACTTCCTGTCACAAAATGATTCTCTCACTGCTTCCTCCTAAAGCGCCCTCCATCCCTCTGCTGCAGGTTTGGCAGCGACCCATCCAGGTACGTGGTTCGCGTCGGGGCGTCGGAGCAGACTCTCAAACCGGAGCAGGTTGTGGTTCACAGGAAGTTCAAAGGTCAGAGTGGAGGTCACGACCTAGCGATGCTGAGGCTGCCCAGCGCTAAGGGCCACTGCGTGACGTTTGAGGCGAACACAAACGCAGCCTGTCTACCTGCTGCCGACTCTGCTACAGGGGCGAAAACGGGATCATGTGTTGTCATGGTTACCACAAGCTGGACTGGACCGGGTTTGTGATTTTTCTCTCGTTCATCTTTGATAAACAGCATGCAAAACAACCAGAGACATCCTTAAATAAAACATGAAAACATTATGATTTAATGATTAAAAACTGATTATAACATATAACATATAATTTCTTTTTACTTTAATCTAATCAGTTTGAATATTTTCAAAATATTTTCTATTAGTTTTTACGGTAAAATGTTTTTCAAAATGAAGCCTTTATAATTCTTAAAACTGCCCATGAATAAATAAATTAAGAACAGAAAAGTTAATGATAAAATATTACTACTAAAATTCCCAAGATTAACTTGACAAAATATCAAAGATAATAATACATAAAGTTAAATATTTGGACAGTTTTTCTGTGTTGCTATAAAACTTGTCAGTGTCACTCTGGCGCCATCTGGTGGTGGAAAGACGAAAGGAATTCAGTGAAAGTTGCCAGAAACTACCGGAAATCATCATCCTAAAAGTTTGATTTGCTCCTTTTATCTATAAAAATGTATGTAAATAATCAGTTTCACTGTTTGTTATACACTCAAGATAGGACAGAAAAAGAATAATTCTAATTAAAGATATTTATTTTCATCTACTTCCAGTCTATTTAAGACAAATGAATCACAAACTACAGACAGATTCTGCAAGGAAAACAGGGAATGTTTTGTGAATAAGAGAGATGGGGTAAACAGATCACTGGAACACGATAATTTGATCAGCCCCAAAATAAATAAATAAATAAATAAAATGCCAAAGCAGAACAGAAAGTCCCTGTTTTGAGTTCTGGATGTTGTCATTCACAGAGCCACATTGGATTTCAGTTCTTTGTCCTGTGTTTCTAAAAACGTCTGCTTCTTATTCTCCTTCTTCAAAGGAAAATGAGAAAAAAGGTATTTTTAAACAATGTATTTAAACATCTGACCAGTATAGGTGGTTTTTATATGTGGGCCATATGGGCAGTTGCCCAGGGCGGTGTTGCAAGGGGAGGGGAGGTGAAAACTCAGACCCATGTTGTGTGGTACTTTAGGGTGCATTCACACCAGCCCTGTTAAGTCCGCCTTAATTGAACTCTCATTTGTTTGTCTAAGCGCTCCAAGACAGTGATGGCACAAAGCATTCTGGGTAAATACATCCAACACAAAGATGCGAGTCTAACTAGCGAGAGAAATGGCTCATGGTCTTTTACCAAAGACGAAAGAGAAACCCTACAACCGTTAAAGTCTGATGCCACTCCATTTTTGTTTACATTTCATGAAGAAGGAAGTTGTACTCATGTCTTCTTCTGAGGCTTTCATGTTGTTTCCTTCGGTGGTTCTTGATGCAGCGCCACCACAGGCAAGGAGGGGAATAGGTTTTTCAAACAGTTTGGCTCATTTGACACAATGCAGTGTGAAAGTGAACCGCTCCAGCTGAAAATTAAACAGAAGTTAAAATTTTGGTCCAAGTCTACCGGACTATCATGTGAAAATCTGGGGAATCTGGGGTCACTACTATCATGACTCCACTACAAAGCCATCACATTTCTTACAGCAGAGTTTACATTTTATTTTGGAATTAAATCCTCTGCTCAGCTCATCAATTGTTGACGTTTAAAATATTTCCTGCGTTTTTGTTTCTCATAGACTCAGTCATCGCTTCCTGGGTCGCTCTGATGTCGTCATGGCAATGCAAGAAGCGCTTCGGTAACAGTTTCTCCAGTCACGGCACGCTGTGCGCCGGCAGTCCGCCGGACACCAGCCTCCTTCACGGCGACGGTTGCCAGGGCAACTCCGGTGGCGGCCTACTGTGCCAGGAGGAGTCAGGCCGATGGGTCGTAGCTGGGGTCGTCGCCGGGGGCTACGGCTGCTCCGACCCGTCCTCCCCGGCGCTGTACACCCGGGTGAGCCGCTTCAGGAGCTGGATCGACGAGGTCATCGACACGCACAGGCGTCTGGAGGAAACGCGCGCACCCGCAGCGACGCGGAACAAGCCCACGCACACCGATGATGACATTTCACACGATGTACACTTTGACACACACCAAGAGCTCAAACACAAACACACACACACTCATCAGCAGCCCGGCTTCAAGAACACACACATGTTCCACACAGAGGATGCAGACAAAAACAAACAGATGGAGGTCTGATTGAGGCCGTGCCATTGGCTACCACCTGTGCCATGTGACCACCCGGAGGGAGGAAGTAGCTTAGCATTCAAGCATTTTTACCAACAGATTTGAGGCAGAAATTGGTGTGAAGGTTGGGATGATCCAGATTAACAGCATGATAATTATCAGGGACAAATCAGAACAGCATGACAAAAACTATCAGAGGGATTTACTGAACATGGTCACACATTAATCTATGCTAATCTAATTTATTTATTTGTCCTCTGTGAGTTATTAGGAAAATATTGAAACTAAATCAGAACATATTTAGGCTCTCTATAAAAACATCCACACCTCTGAAATGAGTCATGTAGATAATCCCCTGCAGCAGACCAGACTCCTCCCAGATTAGCTTTTATATAAAACATCATGTGTGCTTATACTTTTCAAACAGGGCTCATTTCTTCAGGTTGTTGTCTTAAAAAGTTACAAGTGAAAGTGCCGTAGGTAATTTAGCTGCTTAACTCAGGACCATACCACTGCATTAGCATGTGCTGCTGTATTTATAACCTCTGACCTGCAACTTAGCGCTAAGATTAAATAATTAATGGTTGTTGGTGTCTTAGTGAGGGAAGCGTATGATAATATTAGCGGCTATAACCTTTAGCACAGGGGTGTCCAAAGTTGGTCCTCAAGGGCCGGCATCCTGCATGTTTTAGTTCTCTCCCTAGAAAACTAAAACATGCAGGATGCTGGCCCTCGAGGGCCAACTTTGAACACCCCTGCTTTAGCATAAAGTTGCTGTCTGCTCTGGCGTTTATCCACCACAAGGGGAAGCTGCTGCGAAGGATTGCTAATCTGGAAAAGTCGGCTAATTGTTTTCCAGGTCTGGATAAGTATGGAAAAAGAAAAGAAGATATGGAAAAATACTTTTAATTTTTCCCTTCCATTGTTTTCCATCTTTTGCTCACTCTTTCTTTCATCCTTTATCTTTTTTCCTCCTTCAGGAAAACAGATAAACTCCAGCGTTTCAGACTTCCTTCGCCAGTTCTTCCTGTTTGGTAGTTTGTTCATTTCATCCTTTCTTCATTTTTTCCTCCCTCCATTCCTTAAGTATTCTTTCTTTCTATTATTCTTCTTTCCTTTCTTGTATCATCCACTTTTATCCTTCAATTCTTCCTTCTCTTATCAATTTTTTCCTTCCTTCTTTCCCTTCTTAGACTATCTTTTCCTTCCTTTCTTTGCTCCTTCATTTTTTGCTTCTCTGTCCTTCCTTCTTAGATCATCCTTTCTCTTGTCCTTCAATCTGCCCTTTCTTACTTCTTTCCTTCCTTTTTCTCTTTCTTTTACTCTTCCTTCCTTCTTTCCTTCAATATTCAAATTGAACATTTATGGACTAAAGGACAGAGAGTTGTTGTTGGAGTTCTGCTGGACTCCTTATATTCCAGATAAACAATGTGTAAAAACCCTGATATTTATGGTGTTGATTGATCATTTTACCCTTCAAATAAAAGATAAAACATGAAGTTTAATAAACAAACGCCACGCTCCCCTCTCAAGTTAAAGTCCTAAAGTGATCAGAAACAGCAGCATAGCAGCATTTTTGTTATTTTTCTATATTTAAAAGGAGCAAAAACACTGGTATGGTCCTCTAAGCCTGTACAGGAAATTATCTCATTTGAAAGCCATTGGACGCCTCCCGTCAGGTGATAAATATCCTTTTTGTATCGCTCTAGACCCATACGGTAGATAGTTCCTCAGATAGATGGATAGATAGCTGCTGCTCCTGAGTTTAGATAGTGTTAGATATACAACCTGCAGAGGCTTTTTCTGTTACTCCCTGCGCAGATGTGTGATCCCACCAGAAGGGGGCGACGTTGCTGTATTTTCACAGGGCGGCCCGCTGCCAAACAACCCGGCCCTGATGTTGTTTTTATACGGTCGCAGTAATAAGTGTACGGACTCGTGCTTGGTGTGCTGTGAATCATTGTGTCGTGAAGCATCTTGTAAACTGTTACCGCCTGTCCTGAGCCTGTTGTTCTGGTCCTGTACATAAATCCACTCCTGCAGCCCCCTTCAGACTCAGTGATCTCTTGTAAATACAGTTTGTCTCGGAGATGTGAGGCTGCAGGGTGAATAAACTTGTGTTGAACCTATCAGCTGCTCCCTGGTGTAATGTGCTGAATCATGGTTGAGTATTAAAGCATTTACGGACTAAAACTTCCATGTTTTGCTTTTATTTCTCTTCTGAGACACGATGGATGTTAATATTTTAAAACCTGCATCTGCTTCAATTTACACAGGATCATGCAAGAAAACTTCTGGTGTCAGGAGAATTTCCTGAATCAAGATATGAAGATCATAAACCAACACCTCACAAAAGTATTTATACTGCAACACATTTTTTTCATGTTCTGACTACAAATATGAACATATTTTATGAGAAAATGCATCAAGAGGTGGAGGGAAAAGTTATTTATGGTTTTCAAATAAAAACACGAATCTTTAATCTGACACACCTAAATAAAATCCATTGTAGCCATTTTCTTACAGTAAATATAACCCATTTGTGAGTTGTTTGGAAATATACCGCCTGAGTCAATACTTGTAGAATCACAACAGTACAATATTTTGAGGTACAAAAACACAAAATCTTATCAAGTATTTTTGGCTAACTTGTAGTGCAAATATCTTGCTACACTTGAAATAAGACAAAACTAACTTACTTTCAGAAAGATATCGGAGTTTGTTATAAGTCAGTGAATCCTTAATATTTATGAAAAAGTACTAGTTTCACTGGTAGATCATTTCACTTACAACAAGACATTTTTCCTATGTTATATGCCTTTTGGTGTCTGGAAGAACGAGCAATTTCAGGCACTGTCCCGTTACCTAGCAACCCCAGAAGTTTCCAGCCCATCACCTAGCAACTGAAGCTGAGCTCCTACACGTTTAGTTAGCAAAATTTACCTGCTGTACAATGGCGGGGAAAGACGAATGTTTTTTGTTGACTAACTTACCATCCAGAAACCACTTTCTGCAGTCTTACGGGTTGCTTTTCAAAGGTGTACGGTTGTAAAATTGTGCGTCTCTTTGACGCCATTTTCACGTGCCAGTGTAAACGTTGAGTTGAGGGGGCGTGGTCAGTAGAAACTTATTTTGATTTAAAGTGACAAGACCCCCTAAAATGTCGCATTCTGAAAATGGCTCACAACAGAAGGAACTAAGCAAACCGAAACGATGAGATACATAAACTGTAAATTATCATTTGGGTTTGTCAAACCCAAGGAGAAACTGTTTTCTCCTGTAACCTGCTTGTTCCATTGTCAAGCACAGAATTCAAGCAACAGCCACCCTGACTGGAGGCCATTTTGTAGTTTGGTACATTTGCATTTGAGCCACAAACTTCCCTTCTTTGGATGATGATGAACTGAGCAGTGCTCTCTTTGATAAACAGAATTGGACAAACAAAATAAAGCGATTAGTTGCAAAACTGCAAGTAATTGAAAAATAAATCTTCTTAGCTGCTGTTCTCGGTCACCCATGAGCGCTGTTAATCATTTCCTTTGTTCCTCTATGAAAACAGGGACCAGAGTGGATTGGCCTTTCATTCGCTGCAATGAGCCTGCAGCCTGTCAGGATGCAGATGATTTATTGATTCTTAATGATTTACATAAAATGGGCTGAGATTTTTAAAATTAATTATTAATGGTGGCGTAGGAATGGAGGAGTGTGATTTTATGATAAACACTCAACACGGAAAACAACTTTGCTCTGACCATCAAGTCACTTTAGATGAAATGTGGTTTTAAATTATTAATTACTGATTGAGAGAAAACATCATGGATGCTTCAGGACTCAATCTTCCTGAAGACTCTTTATTGCTTTTCCTCATTAATCAAGTGATGAATGATTTAAACGCAGTAAACTGCAAACAGACATGTTGCTGTTTCGATCATCCGACTCTTAAATAGTTAAAAGGAGTGTGTTTGAGTTTCCGTAGAGGGAGTCAGAGACGTGCGTGCTGAGAATCGCGGCAAGCTTTAATGATCGGCTCAAACGAAGCTCAGGTAGGTCTTCCCCCGGGCCCAGTCACCGGTGGTGGAGCGGAGCTTGGAGAGAGGAGTCTTGAGGGGACCTGGAGGCGTCTGGGAGACTGGTGGTGGAAACGGGGAGGAGGTGGGTTGAAGCACAACTGAAGCGGGTGGATCTGAGGTTTCTTCGACTTTTGAAGGAGCTCTTGCCAGGTGATTGGATCAAGGTGGAGCAGTGGTGCGTCCTGGTTGGCTGGGGTGAAGGCCTGGTGATAAGTGATGCCGGAAGAGTCTTACAGGTTGAATTTACGCCTAGGGCTTCATCAAATAAATCTAAAATATCAAAAAATATATACTTAGAATTAAATGAGGTTGGGAATGAAAAGATTTATTGAAATATTTAACCAACTTTGGAAATAGTGTAACTGTTTTCAAATGATTGATGACACTAAGAAATATAGAAAAGTTAATAAAAATTTAATTTTATATCTTACATCTTTAATGTAGAAGCTAATAAACATATTTAAATCTAGAATTAATCTATAAAACTACTAGATATTTAGTTAAAAATAACTTTTTCTGATTTTTTAAACATCCTTTAGGATGCTATTAAATACCTCACAATACAAATATTGATTAATCATGTTGACAAATAAAATAAATTCATGAGATGTTGCAGCAAGCAGCATTTAATAGCATATGTTTTAAAATAAGTTCTTTGCATAAAATGTTCCTTATGAGTTACATATAAAACCCAATTAAAGTTTTTATGCATTCATTTCAAACTAATTATTGAAAAATGTTTAAATATTAAAATAATTTTTTAAATAATAAACATATTTATGTATATACAAAAAATGACTACTTTAATTTCAGAGATATTACAAACTAATATTTTTACAGCAACATTTTTTATATTTTCAACGTTTAAAACTGGATGTAGAGCAGCCACGTGAAACTGGGGCAGATTTACAGGAAGGAGCTGAGAAACGGCTGAGTCATGTTTAGGTATTCACACCTCCAGCTCAGGATCTGTTTCAGCATTTTCCTGCTCAGAAATTAAACCGGAGCCCCTCCAACGTGGAGTTTGCAGTTTGATAACGCAATACAGTTAATCCTGCTTAATCTGTTTTATTCAATATGCTTCTCTATCCAAGGTGACAACAGGAAAAGGTCACACCTGTGCCTCACAGAGATTAAAACATAAATAAAAAGCTGACATAATTCCCAGGAAGTACTGATGTGGTTTTATGTAACACCTCTCGTTTGAAGAACTGCTTCAGCGACTGAATGCAGCCACAAATCACCAGGTGAAAAACACCTGGCATATTATGAAAATATGCCAGGTCAGATTTTCATAAAGTACAGGTAAGAAAAGTACTTACCTGAACTTGTGAATCAATAGCAATACATTTGGCTATTTATTGCTTAATTTCTCCAACTTAAATATTTTTATGGTGAACAGATTTATTCATGAAATGACACCTTTTAGCTTTAGCTGTAGTTTGTAGTTATATTTTATTCCTTACTTGCTATGTTTATTTGTAACTCATTAGTAAATACTTGTGATTAGTATAATACTTCATTATAATTATTAATTAGCTCCTGGAGATTTTCCACTACATTTAATTCA